TTCTCTTTCAGACAAAATAAATGAATAAACAAATGAAAACAAAGTGCATTTTGATCCCTCCGGGATTCTATTATTAGTTGGCTCAAACTGCTTTACCTCATCACCTTGTCCTCTATTTATTTTATTGCGTAAATGTGATTATGATCTTTTGAGAATCAAATCGAAAAACTTTCACCTGCCACTTGAATAATCAAAGCGTGTATTCCTTTCAGGTGGCGGCCCCCATCTTATATTCTCAGCCAAACGGAAGCGAAATCGGAAGAAATCCGGAAAAAGTATCGCATACTGATTGAGGGAGAAGAGGTTCCGGCCCCTATTCGAAATTTTGTAGAAATGCGCTTCCCCACCCCACTTGTCAATATTTTGAAATCAAGAGGAATAGTGAAACCCACACCAATTCAAATGCAAGGTCTCCCAGCGGTTTTGAGCGGTCGCGATATGATAGGGATTGCTTTCACCGGTTCAGGGAAAACCATGGTTTTCTCAATTCCCATCATCATGTTCTCAATGGATCAGGAACTCAAAGTTCCCTTTATTCCTAGTGAAGGTCCTTATGGCCTGATTCTTGGTCCTTCGGTAAGCTCTTCTGATTTAAGCTGATTGTCTACTTTGACTTGCTTCGGCGATTTTGTCAATCATTTTCCAACTATTTTATGCGGTACGTTTAGCTAGAGAATGAGTCAAACCTATGAACATCGTGTCGTAACAGTTACAAGAATAGAATTCATAACCGTGTCCCCGCCACCATCCGGAGCTGTTTTACCACTTCTTTTCCCAATCCATATTAGGATTTAATATCATCTGTGATTCGAGGTTTACGTTCGATATTGCAGCTCTAGCCTCTGGACATTTAAGTTCAGCCTACAGGATTGCAGGGTTATTCAAGATGACCTAGGGGCTTATCATGTGGTTCATTCGCTTCTTGCGAACTGTTATGCCAGACACGATAGGAGAAGTGACAATCAGTGGTTGGCAGCGATTCAAAGAATCTTTATCAACCATCATGCACTCAGACCACAACTCTCGCCCCATTGTGAGTTCCGAATCGGGAAAGGACTATTCCCGTTTTATAATTGTAGTAAGGGTACAAAATGATTTCTCAACGGACATCAGACTACCCTTCACGGAAATCAGCTCGTCTGGTTGTATTTCGTTTTATGTAGAGGATTGTAAGCACGGATCTAGGCGATTAGACAAACTTGTATGTGAACAGTTCTTGTAACTTAAAGTCACTATTTTTCGACCAGCAGTGCATTCTAGTGTGGTATAAAACTCTTGGCTCATACGGTAGCATCTCTTCATAGGAAACACAGGGAGCGAGTCCAAGAGCCTCATCACCCATAAATCCAAGGAAGCTCTCAATGTGCCATTCAATACAATGTTTTACATTGCGCCAGTCGACTAAAGCAGTTGAAAGCCTTTGTAGGCACCAAACAAGTTGTTGGAAAAGCAGCAACCAATTAAATTATGGGACAGATATCCTGATAGTTAGCAAAAAATAATATAAACAATTCAATACAGGTTATTGCACCTGAGTAATAGTTCCCTGACGACCATCTACCCAGCTTATTGCGATTGATATGCGGACCTGAATACCCTGTACGACTGAGCTGCAGCATTAAGTTGTTTGTAATTGGTGTTCTGTGTATCAATATGATACAGTGAGGTCAATTGACTCAATCAATAACGTGACGAACGATTATGGTTTTCAGTTGACGTTTTTACCGCCAACAAAAATCTAACAGCACGATAGAGGGTAGAGCGAATTGGAGACCGATTTACTTGAATCACCTATTTTTCTAGCGATTTAATCCCCTAAGAATCCAACTCCAGTCAAACACCGTCTGAAGAACCGGTAATTGGCTAGTCTGCCTTCTGTGATCTGATAGGCATTGCTAAATCTCCAATATGGGTGAAATCACCTCTTATAACTTGCTGGATCGTAGAACTGCACAAGCGATCACCACGTTTTCCAGTAACGGAAGTTCATAGCCATTACTACTAGGTAAGGGACTAGTTGTTTCACAATTAAACCTATTATAGAATTCAAGAGAGAAAACTGTTGAACTGCCAACGTAATTTTTGTGGTGAACTCGAATCAAAAGTTTCCTTACTGTGAACCCAGCTTTAATTGTGCACGTATGCGCTGATTGAAGGATTGATGTATGAAATCAGGTTTGTCTTCGGAAAATGGTGACTTTGGGGTGAAAAGCCTATTTTGATTGTTACTACAGATGGTTGAAACATTGCATATGTTCTTACAAGTGTTCTGCTGCATATTATTATTATTATTATTATTATTTTCCCGTTTTACAAAACGAATGGTGTTTTGGTTTTTCGTATTTTCTGTTGTACTTCATCTCTTCCAGCGTGAGTTGGCAAGGCAAACGCACGAGGTGATCAATAGCATCACGGATGGAATGGTAAAAGCCGGATTTCCCGAAATACGATGTAGTCTGTGTATCGGCGGAACAGCAGTTAAAGATCAAGCGGACGCATTCCGTCGTGCCGGTGTGCATATCCTTGTTGCCACACCGGGTCGACTGATTGATTTGTTGGAGCGCAAAATATTCAATCTGGAAGTGTGTCGATATCTGGTTTTGGATGAAGCCGATCGCATGATTGACATGGGGTTTGAAGAAGAAGTTCGAACAATTTTTTCATACTTCAAAGTGGGTACTCATAGCTGCTACCTTTTCTGTTGGTTGCTTCTTTAAGATCACCATTCCATGAGTTGGAATTTTCCGCTTTTTGGTAATGAGGTGTTTTCGACGGCGTTTATCCTGTTGATCGTTCTGCGAAATAGCATAAGTTTCGTGAATGTTAATGTTATAGTGTTAATAACACAGCGATGTCGGTAGAGAATTATATTCGCCGACGTTTCGGTTACGGTGGGTAGCCTTTCTCAAGGCAGGTTTTTACAATCAAATGACCAACTATAACATTAGCATTCACAATAAAACAGCACATGCCGCATCGACTTTTCGATACACTCCTAACATCATTTGGTCATGATGTGGTAAAAGTGATCAGCATAAGTTTCCTTGTTAGGGTGGCAAAATCCAAATAGTAAAGTGCGTGTAGGAACAGTACCTTACTATCTCACAGACGCTATCAATGCCTCAGAGACATCGATGTTCGACTACAGAAAGTCGATTAGTATCTTCAGTGGGAAGATGCCAGATTTCGCAATCTTAGAATAAAACACTACAAACGGCGACGATGTGCACCCATTCGCTAACGGAAATTCTGATGCCATGGGGAGTCGCAGGTGTCCCAGGTTAACAAATATCGCACTAGCTTTTGATATTCACGTCGTGATCTTTTCCCCAACACCACCTGCATGTGTGATTAAGCTCCCTAGGTACTAGAAGTTGTCAAGTATATCAATTGGGAGTGAATGTAAGTACAGGCTCCCGCCACACTTGAATAAGCAATTCCCATTTTGATGTTTTTCTATCGCCACCCATCAAGGCGATGTCCTCAACATATGCGGATCCATTTACTCTGTTCCTTTTTAAGAATTCAACTCCATGGTCTGCTGGATTAGTCTAAACATTCTTGCAGAATATCCTCTTTGCAATGCTGTAAAAGGAACGAGGTGACAAACAAGTTGTTCCCATTGGGGCGACGACAGCTCACTTTGCATGAATCTCCAAGAGTCACTGTGCATAACCGATTGCTTACTGGGATCCAGTCTAGCAGTGCGGTTTCAGTTATCTCATTAAAGTCAACAAGACCAGAAGTCTCGACCTCAGGACCCCAGAAATGCTGGATGGGAGCATCAATCGGGTGATGGAGCTAGATGCAATACACTTCAATGGTTTGGGTCTCAAATGTACGAGCTAAACACTGCCGTTGTTTTGTACGCACATTGAATGTGGCTAGTTCCCGTGGGTGTCGATTACGAAGAGAAGCAGTCGATCGAAGTGAAGGAATAGGCGAGAGTTGAGCGCTAGTTGAAACAAAACACGAGGGAAGAGTGGAAGCCGCATTGAAGACACTGACCTCCTTAGGTCACTGAAACTATTGTCTTGGTTGCAAGAAGGCACTTCTTTCGCTGCTGATTCTTGGAACAGTCTCATCTTTTCTTAACCATTCATAAGTATGGTAGTGTCAAGTTATTGAAACCTGATTTGCTGGATCGTCTGCCATTCCATTTTCCGTGATCCGGAGACGCGCTCGGTAGCATACAGCTTTGCTCCTCTGTGGCGAGCTTTCATCGTTATATGTGATAAATGATTCCTATAAGTTTGTGATATGATTCGTAAAAAATACATGAGCACAAAGGTCAAATATCATGTCTCACGTATGTCTCTGCCCAANATATGAGGATGTTGTGTGGTACAATTGTCTTCCGATTTCACTGTCGTACTTCATGGTGATCAACTCTTTTGGTGTTCAGTTATTTGTATCGAATTTCCTTAGGGACGTTTTCCCAACTAAGATCGGATAATCTTTGTCCAATTGCTGAACCGAGCCAACATTTCTTGGCATTCACCGTATCCGGTGCGTCAAATTTAAGATATACATTGGGACAGGCCTGTACAGATCACCGTGTCGATTAATCTTCCTTTTGCAGACGAAAGTTCACGACAGGTTTTATAGGACGTTTTAACGAAGTAGTAAATGGCATATTCAAGGCCGTACATCCCCATTGCTCAGTGAAAAGTTCTGTTCTAATAGCCGGAATAGGGTTGAACCATCGATGCCAGCCCCTTTAGCGATTGTTTATCCTCTGAGATCTGTTTGCGAGGCGTCTAGACGCTAATTGAACCGAGCTCGTCTCAGGCTAACTCAGAGTGCAACCTCACCATACTCAGTGAAGTGGACCTCGCTGCTTATCGTCAAACTTTCAACTTACAGAAACCAAGTACGAAAGCTTAAGGTGGACGTGCCTTAAAGGAGGGGAAAGTGAACGTCTGTGGTCAACGAACAGAGCATTCAGTCCAACCGCACATACCCACCTTTTCAAGCATTGTAACTTAATAGGAATTGACAACAAGAACGCCACTGCTGTCGGTTCCCTGTCGTGTCCTTCATTTTCTTTCGCGAACCAGTTAGTAATTTAGATCCCAACTTGGAAGACTAGAAGCGCTTTCTCTACCTATGCATTCCTTCATTTCTTTTTTTCATATCATCTGTTGATCTCCATGTGACTTTCTCCAACCTACGGTAACAAACAATTCGCGATTCGGTAGCGCGATCCTTCACTATTTGGTAGACTGCTTTTCAAGTAATCTCGTTTATCAGATTTCCCCACTCTTCCCTAAATACGTCGATATACACCCTTCAGCCTCAACTGAAACTCCCTAAGTTAGTCCTTTGACCACTGATCTATGTGCATTTATTCCCGTTTCTCAGGAATTCGGTTATGCCCCCCTCCCACATACGAAACACAGTAACACCAGTTGTCTCAAACTGAGTCAGTATAACGAATGTGACGACTGCGATTTTTGGCAGCACGGAACCGACGAAGTGGTGTGCACACGCTGGAACATGCCACCACCACACAATCCGATGTCAGCCACTACCCAATTATCGAGGTTTTATCCCGTATAAATCGCAACAACATGATCATGAATGATAGAAAACAACGGTTCGCCTTAATTTGTGTTCTGGACGTGAATATGAGTCTATGCTACACCTTCAAGTCAATTTTTTGCACTTATCACAGCAGCTCATAATGCTTTTAGCATTTAGCTATGCTTGCAGTATTTGAGGTCATCGGACATATAAAATCTGGGAATGAATAGCTCCAGGGAAAAAATTTACACCCTTGGAGGAAGCGCTATCATTAATACTGACACCGTCGGGGATGAAAATTCATCACCACTACAATTTTAAGCCAAAATTCCACACTGATAAAGCGATTAACTGTAGAAACCTAAGGTTAACTTGCTTACGCAGTCACCAGCCTTCTTACCCATGAGATCCTATGTCCGTAGCCCACCGTCGCCATCTATCCAGCTGATAATGAATAGCTCCACTGCTCCCGATGGAATACTCATTCTCTCCGATCTACAATGAGAAGTCTCCAGACCAGTATTGCCAGTTATTCTTACTACACACTCGGTTCTCATGAACTTGGGATACATGTTGACATAATTTAGGATATAATCACAAGGGTATTGAACCAGTCACTGGATATTATGATCCATCTTCTGGTAGCACGTTACAAACTGTACTCGACAGAGTAAGAATCGCTTTTAGATTCAAGAGGTAATTAGTAGTTCGCCAATATGCTAATCGACTCCTTTTTGAGCATTAATATACATTTATACATACTTTGTGGTTCAATTTTAACCTATAAACCGATAGCTCTTTCAACCGCTTTGTTTTCCACTTCACACGTTTCCAAATTCTGACTGCACCAAACAGATCACGGCAAAACAATCTTTATAACAGAAATGAGTCTATGATTTGCACATGGGTGGAATACTGCTTCCTCCCTGGTATTTTCAGTGTGCATAAATAAAGTTATTTCATGTCTGCATCTAGGGTCAACGACAAACCTTACTGTTCTCCGCCACTATGCCAAAGAAGATTCAAAACTTCGCTAAATCTGCCCTGGTCAAACCGGTAACTGTCAACGTGGGTCGAGCTGGTGCAGCCAGTATGAATGTCACACAGGAGGTGGAGTATGTGAAACATGAGGCCAAGATCCCGCATCTGCTTCAATCACTTCAAAAGACTCCTCCACCGGTAAGCGTGCCTCTGCCGAATCTGTCAGCCCCATTCCTAATATTTGTATGAACTGGCTATGATAAGTTCCCTCCATTTTTGACCATCCATGTTTTTTTATCCGCCCGACTGGGCTTACTAAGCCCTCGATTGCTTTTGTAAATCGTTGTGGACCATCGGTCTCTGTTTTTATCTCCCTCAAAATTGTTCCAGTGTTTTCATTGGGTGATTATAATTTTGTAGTCATTTTCACGATATTTTGCAATCAGGGTCCTTACCTCTCTCTATATATATCTGGTTCTCTTAGGCTTCATTTGGGATATCATATGAGAGAGCACGCCTCAAAATATTCTCAGCTCGTTTTTATCCTGACACGGTCACGGTTTGCTCTTCCTAGGCTTTCCTTAATCTTTGCTCAGTGCGCTTAAGTCAAACGCCCAGTGGTCGTCATTGGGTAGGCAGTCATGACACGTGACCAAGACTTCAGAGATTATGCAGTGTGGTATTAGTTCGGTGAGAGCGCTTTATAAATATGAGAGAAATCTTATACCTTGCCACAGGTGTTTGCTGTTTCCAGTCCTCAGAATTCGATCGGAGAATAATGCGTTCAATCTAGTTACTTCAGCTTTGATAAGCCTAGACAAATACCTGACAGCTGAAGTATTGTGAGAATTGTACGCACGTTCCTTTTGTCGTCGCGGCGACTTTAGTAGAACAGAGTTTATCCTTCCGTTGGACACATAGAGACTTTGAACAGGGCAGCAGTAATTATAAATGGCATTGATTGTTTGGATGAATAGGGGGACATACGTGAATAGAGAAGAGAGAGATGATGAAAACCATAAATAGGCCTGCCTGAGAGATTCATTGAGGAGAGAAACCCTTGTAGGTGAGAAGTTGCGTAACGAAATCTGATGTGGTCAGATCAGGAGGAATGTTTGTATGTATGCAGTGTGAATAAACGTTAGGCCGAACTAAGAGTAAGCAATGGTCACTGGACGAAATAGGTGCTTTTAGTGCTAAAGAAAAGAGGTTTGGGTGGTTGGTGATTACTCTGTCCAGTATAGAATTACCCCTTGTGGGAGAATGACAAAGATCTGTCATACCTCATGATAAAAAGGATGAGTACTAGTATGGTTAAAGTCGCCAACGATTATGTGCAGATTAGCATCTAAAAGCGGGACAATAGAAGGTATGAACGAGTTGAAAAATGACGCACGATCTGATTGTGTACAGTAAGGTTCTAAATACAAGTTAGTCAAAATTGTGCGCCTAAAACGGTGAAATCTTGGGTGATATTGCACGGTTAGGCATTCAATACCTTTTGAGCAGTACTGGAAAATAACATAGGCCTTGCCACACCAGGAAACGTTGACATATGTTGCAGCACCCCCTCCAGTCTGATTTCCGCCGGTTCCAAAGTCCTGTCGGTAAACTTAAAAACCGTTTATCGACACGAGAGAGTCATGTATATCCTTATTCAACCAGGATTCTTGAACACAAACTGCACACGTGTTCGTAGGAATTCTTGATCGGATGACACTAGTTAAATAAGATGTCTTTGGAAACAGGGACCGAGTGTTAGTGCTGACCATTGAAGGAATAGTCATCTTGGACAGAAGGGTGCAAGTAAGGGCAACTTGCTGTCCTGCATCCTTGCGTTTTTCCGGTCCAACCTGGGCAATGAGAAATTGGAGTCACACAGACCGCTGAAACATCAAAGNATGTCCTTGCACGTTGGAAACAAATAATATCATCCTGTGAGTAACGGCGACGCATGATAATGAGTGCAAATGTGAAAATTCCCACAATGTGATGGAGATCGTGTAAGTGTCGCGCAGCCAGTCGAGGGCCGCGCTTGATCTAACTCCTCACCGTCCAGTTCGATTGCATTTACAAGAATTTATCCGTCATGAATAAGTATTTGACACTTGAGGAATCTAGATTATATCACCTATAGATCCAAGAAGCCTAGGTATGTATCAGCCACCACGCCCCGGCAAATCGATCGACAGGTAGGATAAACCAATTTGAGGTTAACCGTAGCCTAAAAACCTCTAGGCGGCAAATGGGATGCCAAAGCAGCTTGCGAAATCTGCTGTCCGATCCAGCGACCATCATGCCAATTCATCCACCTATCAGAAATACATAGATCTCTGGGTTGAATCCATATCTATCGAGCAGCGAATAAGCTTTTCAAAAGCCACTGGTAACCAATAATCAGCGCACTTCTGTTTTGTAGGTTAGAGGAACACCTTCGAAAAAAGCTGATTGACGTTTAGGATTTCCCATCAAATTTCATATTCATTATGAAGCTAGTTTGCTCTCTCTAAACAGCTAAGTGGCACATGAGCGGGACTTCTGTTTAGTGCTATGGGCACCTTCAGTCTCTAATGCACACCAGCGGTCAAACCAAAAACGAAATAATCACACAAATGGACGACGCATGAAGAGTGTTTTCACATTTAAGGAGCATGCTGTGTCATAAAATGGAGTTCTATCTTAAAACCAAATTTCGGGACTATCAAGATTCTGCTTGTTCCATTCCCCTGTGAAACTTGCCTGCTGCACATTCAATCTGTAAACCGCCTAAAACCACTGAAACAAAGTAAAGTGCTCGTTCAACATCGCCATCTTTGATATATCGGCCACCTACTGCGCCAAACATACGTTGAACTGATCAAGCTGGCTTTGTATCCCTTCACATCGTTCCTTCGGAACGTGTCACGTTTATGTAGAGCACTGGGAACCTGGCTAGAGATTTTCAAGTCCGACATCAAGAACTTGTTGCTGCAAAACATGTGCAGGATCTGCACTGAAATACAAATTGGTTAGTCTTGTATCGCGATCTAGCCTTAATTCACTGTTTAAGCTACTTTGATACCAGATGCTTATAAAGCTTACCCATCCTGTCGCAGGGTATAACGGAAGTAAAGTAATCAGTTATTTATAATCCTCCATCTACATATGAAAAATTCCAAACGATATGCATGTGTTTATTCTACTGCTCTACATATCTTTTATTTAGGTTATTATTTTTGCCGAACGCAAACAGGATGTAGATGCAATTCATGAATATCTCTTACTAAAAGGTGTCGAAGCTGTAAGTATTCACGGAGGAAAAGACCAAGAGGAGCGTGTGTCTGCAGTAACTGAGTTTCGCGCCAAACATCGTGATGTCCTTGTTGCTACTGATGTAGCCAGCAAAGGTTTGGACTTTCCCGATATCAATCACGTCATAAATTACGATATGCCGGAAGATATAGAAAATTACGGTGAGTTTTGCTGTAATTGGACTTTGAGAAAACCAGAGACTGCATTTTATGTGAATTTATTTGACGACCCTAACCGTAGCTTTTCCTGCTTTAATTGATATGCCGTTTGTCGTAAATCTTATTCATTTTTAATTATCTGAATTTTTTTTATATTCTGCATAATGTCAACTTCTAATTTTACGCCTTTTAATATAAATAGTACATCAAGTAAAAGAGGGTTAAAATAAGTGGATTGTATATCCTCCATCTAGACTCGAAGAAAAGCTACTTCATAAAATATCTCCTGCCTTAATTCCCAGAAGTGCATCAACCAATTACCCTTAAGTAGAATTCAAGTGGATCCCCCAAACTTTCCATTTTTGTCGTTTCCCCGTTTCTCTTCGTCATAGTTCACTCTTCAACTTTTGACCGTGTACCAATTACATACTGACTAAAAAGGAAGTTAGGGCCTCGTTATATTTGGAGTTATGTGGGTCGTACCACCCGGAAGTTATTCGAATGCCTCAAAGAAAATCATCCCCTGTAATTGAGAAAAATGGGACTATTTAAGGTTCAATCTGTGTTTATTTCGTGCAGACAGAACATGCAGCTGATACTAACTTGGTCCTCACCATTACCCACTTACAGACACTTGAATATATATCAAGCGTACGGCGCTGGGAGCGACGAGACTGCATGTTGACGTGGTGTGATGGCTTGCACACCTCTATGACCCAACGAGTTATACAGGATGGCTTTTGTCAGGCCAGGAGATCTTATCATGCCTGGGAGGTCAGACGAAGTTCAGTCTCCCGGTGCTTCAGATTGGATGTTCGACTCGAGTTAGCGTCTCAATCGGTAAAAAACGGTGGAGGAGTAATCGATCCAAGTAAATGGGCCTCTACTTCGCTCCACCCGCTACCTTGCGGTTAGGTTCTTGTTAAACTAAAGGCTTTGGACGACAACCTTGATCGTTCTTCTGCTTAGTGGCTGGACACCCTAGCAGTATCCGTCCATCAAACCCAAATGCATACACAAATCACAAATAATTCCATACCGCATCGGTCATCGCGCAGGATAGTCAAGACCATGCGGCCCATTGCATCGAGCGGGGTGGATGGTGATAAGTGGGCTACTGCTCAGATATTCCAACCTTTGATTAACTCTTTGTCTTCCATACTCAACCCTCTCCCTTTACCCTTTCTTCCAACCCGTAAGATCCCCTCAAACAACTTGTTCGTCACTCGCCAAAGTTCGTTGCCAAGTAGCTCGGTAAGTAGTTTACCACAAAATGGATTGCATATTCTGAAGCTTCGTTAGCCACTTAATCTGGGGGCATTCAACGTGAGGACTCTGATGCAGGTAGGTCAACAAGCATGTCTGTTGCGTACAATGGACTCTTTGGGAATGAATGTCTGCTGCGTGTCGGAGACTCGAATTCAGGATCTTAGTACTATATGCCACTTAAGTGCATCGGGGTTGTCTTCGAGGTTCTTCTTCCGCACGTCAGGTGATGACGAAGCACTTTCAGTAGGCCAGCGTGGTGTGGGTATTGTACTGAATAATACAGCCGAAGCCTCACTACTCGATTGGATCCCCGTCAACAGCCGCTTATGTGCGATGTGGCTCCAAGAGTCTATCAGCGTCCGGAAGGGAAGCAACACCAAGAGGTGTTTGTTCATCATTTCAGCGTACGCTCCGACGAACTGCAGTTCTGACACACAAAAGGACGAGTTTTATGATAAACTTACCAAACTCATTCGGTTGAGTCGAAGCTCCGACATATTGGTTCTCGCAAGTGATTTTAACGCTCAACTCGGAAAACTGAGCACATCGGAAGCTTGTCTAGGCGGTTATGTGCTCTACGCTGCCAGCGAACAGATAATGGCGATCAACTTTTTCATTTCTGCGCAGATCGTCATCTGTTCCCTTCCAGCACCAAATTCCGACACAACTCTCAACGGACAGCAACGTGGCGCTCAAATTCAACTGGCATGCTAACTCAGATCGACCACATAGTAGTAAGTTACCGTTGTCGTGGCTCAGTACAAAACTGCAGGTCCTATTGGACCACCTGCGTTGAATCTGATCATGCGTTAGTTTCAATGCAGTTCACTCTCCAACTCACTGCTCGCAGAAAATTCCACCAAACACGGCTGGCAGATCATCGTTTAACTGATCCAGCCGTTCGTGCTCGTTTTGAATCACAACTAGGGCAAGAGCTAAACGCACTGCGGGGTGGTAGTGTAAATGAACAATGGGACCAGATTAGCCGAGCAATGCACTCCGCAGCAAAGGTTGCTTGTGGATCTGAAGCAGTAGCCCGCCCGAGGCATTGGATATCTGACGAGTTGGTAGCACTGATGGAGAAAAAGCGGCAAAGCCCCATCTCCCGCGATCAAGGCAGGGTTAGGAGGCGTCTACAACGTCATCTCCCGAGGAGCCTCAAGAAAGACTGTGAGAACTGGTGGGCAACGATAGCTAGTAAAATGGAAGTAGCGGCTTCATCAGGGAATAGTCAGAGACTGTTTCAACTGATACGCAAAACGAGATGTCGGCGAACCACAGTTATTGAAACAATCTGCGACAAAAGTGGGCAAGCTATTCACAATAGGGAACAACGGCTTGACCGGTGGGCGGAGTACTTCAAAGGACAGTTCAGCTGGTCACGCGCTAACCAGGCTACCTC